GATAGTATCCCAGACGTCTATTTTGCAGGTGATTTGGTACACACTTAAAACTAAACACGGTGAGGCATTTTTCATTGATACCTCACCTACTGATGAGGTTCCTTCTGTTGCTAGTAGTTATGCACCATCTGTTGCTTGGTAGTTACGTAATTTCTGATAAGCATATGACTGCAGAAGGCGCTGTGGCTGCTGGAATACCGATTGTGCAAGATGAGAATGCCCAGCCGCATACGCAAAGAAGATTGCTGAGAAACCACATGGGAATCCCCATCATCGACAAGCAGGTAGAGACATTTTATCAGACACTGTTACAAATAGCTTGACCCCTGACAGGGAATTGCATAAGCTACATACTGACCAGACTGACAGGGAGGATGCTAAAAAACAGTTTTTGGTTCAATTTGGACAAGCTATGCAACGACAGGAGCGGGATGTGGTTACTGATGTCAGCAAGCCGCCTCACATTGCATGTAGTGGGATGGCAAGTGACTTTAACTCAGCTATGACGACAGACAATAGAAAAACTAGGGATACTAACGTAGCATTATCAGCTTATCACCCTGATAATGTTACACAGAATCATCAGTTGACAAATTGGGTAGAACATACACACCAACATCATAATCATACTAACAATCTAGATTCAGAAACCCAGAATGCTCCTGTCACCTCAGAACTCATGCAAATTAGAATGAAGCTGGATGAGAAACGAAGAGCAATTGAGTACGACAAGAAGCACATGGAACGGCAACGAACTAAGCAAAGACAGCGAATGGGAAAAGCCGCTTTTCTACAAGTTGTTGGCAAGAAGGATGGAACAACAGAGAGTGACAATAGAGGTAAAATGGCTCCAAGACCACAGGTACAACCTGCGCAGGACGAATCCTACAATACATCATTGGAGAAAATAAATGCCAATTTATCACAGTTGCAGACTGAGTTGTTGCGGCTATCACAACAGCAGGAGCAGATGAAAGTATCGCAGCAACAAGAACATGTGAAAGTTGGGAGTTCACCACGAGAGCAACAATCAAGAGAATCTAACCAAACATGGATTAATACACCACGAAGTGAGACTGAAACCCAAAGTGGATTCTTTTTACAATCGTCACCAAATACCAATAGAAATTGGCAACAAGGTGATTACTCATTTTCCACATCCCCAGCTCCAAAACCTGTTCCGGCATTTGCGCCCAGTGCTGGTATGACTTCGAGTAATTACCAGCAATCCCCGAGTGTGACTCCAAGTAAATATCAGCCAGCTCTCAATGTCCTGCCAAGTAAATTTCAACCGATTAGTAACCCTAATGTGACACCCGTTAGATACCCAACTACTTCTAGTTCATCTAATGCTAGAATTCCTGGATTTGGTGGTAGCATGACATCATCACCAGCACCTTCTATTTCACCATCTTTCAACACGCCGACTGCTTTCCAATTCACTCCGTATACTAACCAAACTTCTAGCCCAGTACCATTTACGTTGGAAGATCAGTCAGTATCATATCAGCAAGGGACACCACCACCACAACAACAACAACAACAACATACAGTACAGATGACAACAAACAAGCAGCAAGTGATTTCGCAGCCACAGGCCATTGCACAGATGCAAAGTAAGACTATTGTTAAGACATCAAAACAAATTGGTCAGCAGTCTAGACCCGGTGAACCACCCCAGCCTTTTTTATCACCACAAATCTCGTCACATCAGCAGTCACCACAAACTTATTCACCAATTGAGACATCACTTGAGGAACTTGAAAATCGGACATTTACACCTCCACAACAGCTATCTCCAAAATCGGAAATCTCTCATCAACTCAGCCCCGGCAACCGTCACCAATGCAAGTAACCAAACAGCAATCACCACCGTCCCAGGTAACCAGGCAACCATCATCGCCATCCCAAGTAACCAGGCAACCATCACCACCATCCCAGGTAACCAGGCAACCATCACCACCACCCCAGATAATTAAACAAGTATCCCCACCTGCCAAAGTTGTGAAAGCACCATTGCCTGTCACCGTGACGTCATCACCTCCAACTGAAATAACATCTCCACATCAAGTGCAACAAGAGCTTTTGAACAATACAGTTGCCATTTCACAGCCTATCTTGCCAGATGAGGAAGCAGATGACAAAGACACAACTGATTAAAGTTGATAA